AAAGCTGTGTTTGAATAATCATGGTCCAGAATCCAGAAAGAAATTACAAAGCAGTCCCAACTGATACTGGCATGGGCTCAAAGACAACTAACCTCTCGTCCTCCACTCTCCTATAGTTCCTCTTGAGACTTTCTCATTCTTTCTCATGCCTAAATCTTTTTTTTTTTTTTAAGATTTTATTTTTAAGTAATCTCAAATTCTTAGCTATAGTCTGGTTGCAGATTTTTTTTTTTTACCTCAATACCTGGGATTCATTGTCTTACCGCTTTGAACAATGAAGAGGTGAACACAAAGTGAGCAGCAGGCAAAAGTTTATTAGAGTGTAAGATGAGAAAGGAAAAATAGTATGAAAGCTCTTTTAACAGAGGGGGAAGTGGGGGCATTCTAAAGTGAATGCCGGTGACAATAGGCAAGGGTCTTTGTTTTATAAGGTTTTGGCTGCCCCCCCCTTCCCTTCCACCTTGTTTCTTCTCACGTCCTACCCTTATTGGCTTGATAGCTCTAGGTGCGGGGCTGCCCATTACTGATTGGCTTGTTTCCATTGTAGGTGGTCTATGGCCATACAGTTCCATGTGGGTCATTTGTTTTATGGTCTACTTATATTTAGTCAGGTCTTTAGTCAAATTCCTGAAGGGAACCTGAGGGGAAGTAGGTGGTGTCCATTAATTCTTAAGAGGGACCTTATGCCTGAGGGGGTTTGCTGTGGTCTGACACTCCCAGCATTGTTCCAAAATAGGTGTTTTTCTCCACTCAGGGACCTCAGTTCCCAATCTTTCCCTCTCGGCCTACTGAATCCTATCTTTTCCTATCATAGTCCTCCCTGCCTTTTCTCAGTTCTTTACAAATATTTCCTTCTAAGTGTCAAGATTTCTAGCAATTGGTCATACTCTGAGTCTCAAAAGATCCAAGAACCAGACTGGTGAAGATTCTTCTTCAGTTGAGGGTGGGGAACAGCTTGGTGGCATTCACATATCAGTTACACTGATTTCTCCAAATTTAGAATTATGATACTGTTAATTAATAGTTGATTCACATTTATTATAGTTTATCATCCCAACTAGATTGTATTTGGAGAATAGGGGGTGGGGCACTGCTGTCACTATTTTTATTCCTTCCAGTATTAAATTTTTTAACCTGTTGATGTGAACAAGATAATTAGGGGATTCCTTAAAAAAATGCACCAATGCCCAGGGGATGGGGGGGGGGGCATCCTCAGTTTGTCCAGGTGTAGCTTGTTTAGAATGCTAATTTTCAGGCTCACTCCCAAAGAATCTTAATTGAGATCTATGTATTTAAGTCATATGGTTTCTTCACAGGTCAGAACATTCTTAGCAACGTTAAAGATTAGGAACTGCACTGCCTCAGAGACTGGACTCACACATAACCCTCCACACTCGTTTAGAGGGCTGTTAACACTGGACTTCGAGCTAGAGAACCCTGCCTTACCACTTCTTCCATTTGGGCACCTTGCTTCATCTCTTCTGGACTGTTGTCTGGTCTCCAAAGTGGGGGTAGTCACATCTGCCACACAGGATCTTACGTGGGGGCACACTGTGGATATAAAGCCCTTATAAAATCTTGTGTATCTGGAGCAATCAGGCCCGGTTCCTGCCCAGCTCGTATGGAAGAGGTTCACTCAATCCCCAAATGGCCCCCAAATGGCCCCCAAATGACAAAGAGTGATTTCAACTTCAGAGATGTTTTCTCAGAAAGGAAAGAGCTATAAAAGCGGTTGAGTAAGTCTGGACAGCAACTACATCCTTTCTCCCCAACAAAGAAAAATCAGTAATCTACAGTTTCTGGCACCTGAAGCTTAAACTTTGGGGAAACAATGAACTCTGAGCCCAAGCCTTCAGGCAAGTAAAAATCCCGAGGTGGTTATGCCTGTCTGGAGGTCTGCGAGGCACGAAGTGATGGAGAAAGGTGAACCCAGCTGCTCTCTGGGTCACTTGCAACCGGTTCGCTCTCCATACCTAGTACAGCCAAGGACTGCCGTCGCCATTTTACAGGGTGGGCAGCGCAGCCTTCTGGCGCTAGGCCGGCCCGCCAGAACCGGGGAGGACGTGGAAGGGTTGGAGGAGGGTAGCGCGCGCTACCAGGAGAAAGCACGCGTGCGCACAGGCGGCGCCGGCGGAGGGGTGGGGCCCGGGTACGAGTGCGCCTGCTCGGTGGGAGCCCGCGAAGTACCTGGAGGAGGTGGGGGGCGAGGTAGAAAGGAGTGGGGTTGAAGAGCGCTTGCGCGGGAGGGCGACCGTCCAGGGAGGGGGGGGCTCCCGAGCAC